ATCCATACATTTTTAAAAAATGTATAGCATTATAAAGTTAAAAATATAAAAAAGAATTTTTTTACAAAAATTGTATTTATTTTATTAACGATGATGTCTATTTTCACCATAAAAACTAAAAAGGGTCCGAAATTTGTTTTGTCATATTAAATTATATTACAATAGCTTTAATTTAAGATAAATATAAAAATGTCAGTATTTTCGAAACATTTTCAAAAATAAAGTCGAAAAAGTTCTCTTTTCTATATGCATTTTTAAGTTTTGAACACTCCTGTATAAAGGGAAATGGTCCGATTTAGACAAATATATATGTCGAATGAAAGAGGTATATAAATAGTATTTCTCATAAAAAAATTGTATTGATCCATACATTTTTCAAAAAAGTTATAGAAATATTAAATTAAAAATATGAAATATGAAATCGAGAATTTTATCTCAAAAATAGCATACGGTATTCATTTTTACCGTAAAGACAAAATAAAGTCAGTAATTTTTTTTTTTATAATAAAGTATATTACATTAAATTTAATTTAAGTTGTATATAAAAGTATCAGTATTTCCAGTAGTTGTCATTTTGAATCTTTCCCTGTGGGCAGGTTATGGGTCAAAGTTATAAAAAAAATATACAGAATGTTAGGTAAATACCTCATGTATTTATAAAAAAAAATGATATTTTATTTGGTCATTTTTAAAAACGTTATGGCAATTTTAAGTAAAAAAATTGAAACAATGTCGAAAATTAGTGATTTTTAAACTTGTAATAGTTTTGAAGATTTCCCCCATTTATGGGGAAAGAGGGGCATTTTTTCAATTATTGAGGGTAATGTCTTCGACTAGATACGATTTGTGATCTTTTGACGTATCGTTGAAAAAATGGTAACAGACGTAAAAAAAATAAAAAATACACATCATAGTAAAATGAATACCTTTTCAGCTTTGTATCAAATCTAATATATTATAAACCTAATTTATAGTATATCTGATTAAAAATAAAATAATTTTTGCTTTAAGCCACTAGTATTCTATACAAAATATTATAAAAAATAAAAAAAGTATATTTTTAAAAATTATAATTACCAATACAACAAATGGAGAAATAATATTGCGGTGCCGTTATTATGATATTTTATATATATAAAGGAGACATATAAGAGTGTGGAAATTATAGAGGTACAAAGTTTATTATGAGTCATAGTATGAAGATTTGGGAAAAGGTAATAGACAAAAAAATAAGAGGAGAAACATCAGTACAAGAGAGGTACCGCAATGCATGTTGTTCACTAAAGATATAGTGTTAATAGTATAAATTAAGGAAAAAATTAATCAATGGGCTAAATGTATGGGGAACAGCTCTTGAAGGAGAGGGATTAAGAATAAGAAGGAGTAAGTTAGAGTATATAGAGGACGAGTTTGACAAAGGAGAACTCGATGTGGATGAAATGAGGAAATCAGTAACAATAAGACAATACGTGATAAGAGAGATAAAAAGTATTAAGTATTTAGGATCCGTTGTGAAAAAATATCATGGTATTGACGAGGATATAAGTTACAGGATTAAGTGCGAGTGGGTGAAGTGGAGAAAAGCTTCTGGTGTGTTATGAGTAAGAGAATTTCAACAAAGTTGAAAGGTAAGTTCTATAAGAGAAAATGAGACCAGCTATGATGTATGATTCAGTGTGTAGGCGGTTGATAAGAGACTAGAGCAGAGAATGAGTGTAGTACAGATGATGATGCTTAGAATGATGAGTTGAGTAACAAACATATAAGAGGGAATATAGGCGTTGAATTGTTTCAAAAATCGTTGAAATTATTATATTGATATAGTTTTTTCAAAAAATGACCGTTCCTAGGTACATTTCTTAGTATAATCAATGAGGATTTATTAGATCTTTTTTGTTTATACGTGAATAATGAAATTATTAAACGTAAAACTATTTTATTCATGACAAATATTCTATGTTTACAGCTTTAATTCTTTATATGTTTAAATTAAAAAAATTGAATTGGCTCGGGTATATTATGTGAAAAATACATTGCTATTTTAATCATCATTTGAAATTCATAGTATTTAACATTAATTTTTTTTGTCACATACAACATTTGAAGTTTTTACTGTTCCAGTAGTATTGTTAACTGGATTTGTAGAGTTCAATGAATTTAAAACCTCCTAAATTTGAATAAAATAAATGAAAGAAGAAAAAATAAAAAATTAATCATTGTATACACATTTTGAAATTCTTTAAAATAAAAATTCNTCACATTTCGAAATTCTTTAAAATAAAAATTCAATACAAACACCATATACTAATTTTAAAAGATTGAAAAAAACATAATTAATAATAATTATTGAGTTAATATAAAAAATATTTGTCAATTTTATATTTTACAGTTAGGTCTGTTTATTAGTAATGTAATTTACAAAATTAAACGACTAATTTATTATTAATTAATCAAGCAAGGAAATATGCAAAATACTAAATTCAATTTAACATTTTAAACGCAATATTTATGCTTCAATAAGCATAAAAGTTTAATACTAAAACAGGCCAGTTTCTTGAATGGAAATTTAATAAACCACATTTTCAGTCTTAAACCTTTTGAAAGAAGAGTATTTAGTTTATTTAAGGGATTTTAATAGAGCTTTGAATAAATAAAGTCATTTTATAATAAAAGTTCTTTTATAAATTGTAAATTGAATGAGAGAAGTTTATAAATTTCAAACAATTATGCTGTTTTCGTCTGTGATGTTAATTAACATATTTAAAATCTGCACAACTAAAAACAGCTAAATATATGTAATTTCCAAGCATTTAGCGTTTTGAAAATGACATTTGTAAATACGTATGCATATCGATAAAAAAGAAAAGGTCGCGTATGACCGTTAAGTGCATTGTAGCGAAAAAACGAATGGGATTCTTTCCTGTACACGATACAATTTATAAATCCCTATGAAGCATTTTCTAAGAGCAGCCACAAAGCTTTCCGAAAAAAAAGATTTGGCCTGGCATGTAAAAAGAATTGCATTATGTCTGACTACAAAATAGTAACTACAGATTGCAGAAAATAGGTATTTCTATATAAAATGTTCATTCCTACATAATTCTACGTCTCAGCTCAACGTCCTCTCCTAAGTCCAAACTCCACATTCTCTCGCTATATATATATATATATATATATTAATAAATAGGGAGAGAGTGTGGAGTTTGGAATCAGAAGAGAGGCCAATGATGTTCAGCTGGGACGTGGAATTATGTAGGAACGGACATTTTATATATATATACGAATTCGTATTATGATGTAAGCTCTTTAAGCCTATTCCCTTTACATTACTATTTATGTAAAAAATAAGTGCTGTTTGTAATGTCGAATGTACTATATTATTTCGTTGTATGTATTATATATTTCATTGAAATATTATGTCTCTGGACTTACAACGTAAATTTTCCCTTACATTATGATCACAACAGAAACGCAAGTAAATGTACACACTTCAATCGGCTTATATTTCCATCGGATACTTATACCCTTCGAGTTATTTCGTTCAGCTGAGTACGGATGATATCCTTGTGTTACTTTGAATTTCTACAGTTAAGATCACTTTTTATTTATATTCAGTTCAGCGGACTTGCTCAAAAAAAAAAAAAAAATCTTCATAATACCCTTATTGTTGGGTCAAGTGTTCAATTCTCCTGTGTCCGTATTGTTAAAGGATAACGATGTAGTATAACGCTCACCATATCTTTAACATGTGTTGTTTTCCAATATTGTACAAAACGTTAATATGCACGCAAATAAAAAATTCTTTTTTCGATTTAAAAAGTCGAAATGCAAAAAAAGTCCGTTGTTGATAATTGAATTTTCATAAAATCATAGAGTGATTTATCATGTTCAGTGGAAATTCCACACTATAACGACTATCAAAGAAGCCAAGTAAAGAAATCTTATTCTGAAATGTAAAATAAATATGGTTCATACATTATTTCATGCAGACATATGTCCTACATAAACGTAAATCAAGTGAAGTCGTAAAAACTGTGGTTAAATAGGTAGTTTACTTTGAAAATTCCATCAGTACAATAATATCCCGTTAGTTATTTACATAGAATATCCATACATATCGAATAAACTTTTGTTGACGATTTATTTACATAATGTATTTTATAACATTTATGTTATTTTGTAATTTATTGTTACGCACGATTTAATTTACAGAATAGACGTCAAGTCGTTGGAAAAATACCGTAAGATTTCAGAATTACACACATTTACATTNCAAGATTTCAGAATTGCACACATTTACATTAAGAACAATTATTAAGTTTTTATGACATAGTAATCGAGTTATCAACATATTAATAAAAAATATTAATCAAGTCCTGTGATATCGATTTCACCATTCATTAAACACGTTTAAATGATAAATTAATTATTATAGACATTAAAAATTCGAGCTTTTATTATTTTATCTATAATTTCTAGCGCCTACAACCAAAAAATTACATTGAAATTGAGTATAGAAAAACAATTACGGAATATTAACGAACACAATTTTCGATTCGAATCGTTTGAAGATTATTTTGATAGCGATTAGTTTGAAAAAAGTCAAATACGAAATAACGTTAGATCAATGTCGGGTGGGAGCGGAAGCTGTGGAAACGGGCAGAGTTGTCAGTGGAATTATTTTCATCTAAGCAAACTTAGGGAGGAGAAACATGCGTCCGGATGACACGTGTATAGGGAAACAAAAACGAACGTCCGGGACACTCAACTTTCAATCGAGAAAGTTATCTGTCAATAACAGACTCCATTACGAAACACGCCCCTCCCGCCCTGCCAAAAGGCCGTTCATCGGCCAAATCCGGTAAAACAAACAGCAGATGGAACGAGACAAATAGAAAAAGGAAGCAAAAAATAAACAATTTTCACGTCTGACCAATTTCAGAACAACACGTGCGGTGAATTCTTATTTTACAATGGCAATTCATACGACTTTTCGCGTACACACACGATATTATACACATTTGTTTTGCACTGAATCGCCAAACTAATAAAACATGTACACCAATATGAATTATTCATTAAATCGTAATCACGTCCTAATGTGTACTACCGATAACAATAATCGTTATTGTAAAAGAGTCCGACCTTTGAGTTTAAAATGCTCAGTATCGACAGTAACGGTTTGCACGACCGTCCGCGGCTGGAGAGCGCCTTTGTCAGCATAACGGTAATAATGATTATATTATTCGGGTTTTGCCATGCAATTGGCATTGTGTAATAAGTATAATAGTATTATTATTCATGTAAGCCGAGACATGATTTCAGCTGATGTAATCCGAGTAAAATTCAAGACGAGATACATTTCAGCGGAGTCCGACTGAAGAACGTAATTAAAATTTCCAATAGCTGATGCAATCGCTTTACAGAAAACATTGCGATGAAAACGAATCGAGACTCGGTTTGATTGCATCTGGTCGTCTAGAGTAAGGAAACACAGACATTTATTACTATTCAACTAAAGTTTTACGGTTCAGATGAAAACTAATTTTTATGATGAAAAAAGCCAAAAGCATTTTGAAAACGTTTCGCATTGAAAAACACAAGAATGCGTGTGCATGCCGAAGGGGACGGATTGCGACTATTGTTATTTTATTTTCGTTCTCAATGACAGTGTTTTTATGGAGAAAAAGATTCGTTTAGTGCGCGTTGGCAAAGTTCCTAATCGAATATACGCGCGCGCCATACAATCGTTTGACAGAATAGGTAAATTGCTATGGCGAATCGCAATGTATATGCTCTTATTTCTTCTGCCAGACGACGCGCTGTGCCCTTAAGTTCTAATCTGTGATGAACTAGATAACTTCTATTGGACAAAAGAAAAAATAAATCTCTAGGGACGTTTCGTTGAAGACGTACGATTTTGATTATTAAAATATCCATTAAAATATTTCCTTCGAGTAGAAATAATTTGTCANAAATATTTCCTTCGAGTAGAAGTAATTTGTCACATATTTTATCTGTGCGTTTCAACGGCGTAGCGAAAATCCAAGAACTGTTCGTTAAAAAATGCGAGTAATACGAATTAATTTCATATCGAATTGATATTCACCGATGGTCATATTTCTACGGTTTGGTATAAATCCACGAGTTTTGACGGTACTAGTTTATTATTAATTTATGCAATCTGCATGTTTGATATCTATATCCGGAGTTCAATTATACTGTGACGCGGGTAGTCAATTTTTCTTTATTCATTTATAATATCAGACCGCCCATTTTATGTTATTTCGCCATGGGTAATTATTTTTGCACGTTATTCGATGATCCTGATATAGTATGCATGCAAACGTCAGACTGACAGTCAGTACAGCTTTATGCACGCGTTTAGTAATTTCATTTCGTTTAGAGTTCAATTTCAAACCATTGTGTGTTTTGTATATATACACAACGGATTTTGGCATCTATGTCCGTTCGGTATAAGCTTTGAATTATTTAGTCGGCATATAGAATAATACGAATGTTTGAGTTCTAGAATTTTGATCAATACAAACCTTAGAACAATTACAGCATCCGGCAGCTAAGTACAATTATGCGTTTAAATATAATATACATGTGAAAATAACATTCAGATGACAAACAAGTAAACACGATTTATAATATACTAGCCCTAAGACCTAACAATGTCATTATATCAACGATAAATTCGTTTAATACTTATGTACTGAGTCTTTCCAATCAATTGACTATGCGCATAAATTTCCTTTTGATTTTTTCAAAAGCTTACTTTGACAAGTTTTAGTAATAATAAAAACGTTGTGCTTGTATAGATTTTTAGTATATTTACGTTGTTTGTAATGCTTACCTTTTGCTTTTTAATGGATCTTAGTCTTAACATTAGTTCATAACCAATGCACACAGCCATCACTGAGATACCGTTTTCTTTAGCTAACATTGACAGCAATGCAAACACTACTGTTAATGTTAAGTATCTTCTATCTGGCGGCCATCTAATTTTCGTTTTCTGAGCACACGTATTACTTCGATTATTTTTTCGAGATTGTACAAACTCTTTGTAACACAAAAATGACATCAAGAAGAACACACATGATAATATGTCTGCTCGACCGACTACTGAGGCTACCGCATCAGAGTGTATAGGATGCACTGCGAAAAGTAATGTCGACAGCAAGGCAGACTTTTTAGACATCATCAGTCGAGCTGTTACCAATAATAAACCCGTAGCAAAGCTATGTAGGGCCACGTTAGTCGTATGATATGACATTGGTCTCAAACCCGAGAACCTAAAATAATATTAAAGAAATGCATTTTATTGGCTTTAATAACTTTTGCTATAGTGAATTTCATATACCTATTAGAAATTAAACTAAGATCTATTCAAAATTAAACCATTAGATAAAAGTTAAATAATTAATCAAAGTAAATTTTACCTATAGTTGAACCTGTATGTTAAAACTGTAATTGGTCTGTAAGACCCGTGTGAATTTTTCGTGCCCATCGGTGTACCCCAAAAATCATTCCGCCACAAGTTAAACCCTGATGTTGATGCTCGTATATCATCATTAGCAATGATTGCTTGACTGAAATAAAAAACACAACATATGACTATCCACTATGATTATTGAACATAATTTAGAAACGGCCAAAGGTAGTGTAAAATCTTGATAATCGTATCAAAAATCATGTTGATTTTTCACTTTTAAGGTATTTTGTAATCACTTCTTAATTAAGAGTCAAATGTCATTTTTTATTGTGAATAGTTTATTTTGAAAATTAACGATGGTTTGTATAATTTTTAACCAATAGCAAAAATATAAAAGTAATTGATGCAATATAATTTAAAATAAAAACATAGACACTGATAACCAGAGGTCGTAAGTTCATGCCTTTGCATGTCGATTTTACTTAACCCTATTTAATGCTAAGTGATATAGAAATTTGTTTCGAGACTTCGGGAATCAGTAAAATGAATTAAAAAAATAGTTACCAATGATAACTATTTCAAATGATCATCATATATATTGTTGTGTATAACCCTTTTGATTACTCGGCGTAACTATTTACTACCAATGTAACTAAATTAAAATATTTTTATTGAAAAATAAAGTTATAATTATGGAAGTAGTTTTGTACTAATTTTCGGGTAGGTATGACTTTGTAAATGATAAATAATAAACATTTTTAGAAGAGCTTTAGCAAGAGAGCAGCCTTAGAATTTCTTGATATTTTGAGTGACGTTTTTAAAACACCAACGTAAATTCTTGGGAATTATGGAGGTATCTGTATAGGTACACTGTATATATGTGACTATTAAATACATTTTTATTTTTACATCAAAGACCGAATAAAGTTTCAAAGAGAAATGACTGCTAGCAGGGGGCTGTAAAATAATCCCTTCGTTAACGATCCTTTTTTTTCATGCTTTTGCCCTCCACGAACAAATCTTATAATAATAACGCGGTTCGGAAACCGCTGGTCTTGAATAACAAACAGGAATACTATTACCATAAAGAAATGATGGTATTCATAACGAGATAGGATGCGATTTACTTTGTATTCCTCTAGTCTCCTTACCAAGAAGATTCTGTCATTAGTATAACGTTATTTTCCCTTGAGGTCATTATTATTTTCAATAATCATATTTTACCAAATGAGTTTAAGTAGTTACGTGACAACACTATTATGATTGAGTTTAAAGTATAATTCCGAGTAAATTTATTATGGTAGTTAAAGAACTGAGTACAAGTGTGCGCGTATAGTTAAATAACATAAATATCGTCTTCCGCGTACGTTAGTTTAAAGTACAGTACACAAAGTTTTAAACGATTCGCTATTTCGAGATAAAAAAAATACATTTTTGTATTAATTTTTTACTTAAATAATTCACAAGATTTTATTTTCAAAAAAAAAAAATACAAGTTATTTTTTTTATAGGCGATAGTAATTTTAATATGGACTTTTAAGGATATGCCAATCATACAATGTGATACGTTTCTCCTTTTAAAATATCAATAAAAATCAACACCCAATCATTGGTTATATCTATTTTTTTTAAACATTTTGTGAAAATTATACATAATTTTTATTTTATTTGTTTTTTAAGTTTATCTCATAGGCTTCTGATTCATTTTTATGTACCATAGTGGGTTAATTGTATTAAATTTGACTCAATAGCTCAAACTTTAGTGATTAAAAACAAAACTTTGGAAAAACTTGGAGGAAACAGTATCTTTTCATACTATTTGACAATTAACCTCGACATCTCTGCCAAGATTCTCAAACAATACACGTCTAAAAACTTCTCGAGGATTCATTAAATATGTGACTCCAAAACACGAAGAAGTTACCTAGGATACATAGTTTTACAGCTATTAATAGTTATGTTGACGTTTGCAAACAACATATAAGTACACAAATGTTGATGTTAAAACATGAAAGTAATAATTACACACGTAAAATAGGGTCTTGCTAAGAAATGAAAGTTTGTAAATATAAATCTAATTTAGTAGTTTTTTCGGTATTTAATACTTTTTAGTATGCTATTTTCTAGTTCAGTAAAAGCTGAAGCTTAAAAAAAATAAGTATGAGTAATATGATCTCTAAAAATTTACAATCACACTGTAATTAACAGTACATTTTAAACTTACATTATTAATTACTTTTACGTTAAATGGTATAGTTTTTCCTTAGTTGTCTAAAAGACTATTTACAAACATTTTATTTTAAATGGTATAATTAAGTCAAATTATAGAGTAGTTTAATGTGGCTTTTGGTTGGATAGTTTCCAAGTAAAATGTTGTACAGTTGTCACTTAACGATAAATTATTTTATTTTAAGTTTTGTTTGCAACATGTAATTTTGTCAAATACAAATACTTTTATTTTCTTTATACAGTTGTTTTATGGTACTTTAATTAAAGTGCATTATGCTATTGATTATGGAGGAAGGCAAAATAGTGTTTTTAAAGTTCATTTAGAGATTCTAAGTTCGCTCTTATTAATTTAGTATTCTAATGTACTTAGATATTTCATTTAATTTTCACAAAAAATATATAAAAAGAAAGCCTATTGTGTCTTTCATATTTTATTAAAATGTTATTAGTAAAGTAGGCAAGTGTAAATTTAATAAAATTAAAATCGGATTTTTTGATGTATTAAACATTAAAATTGATCTAGTAAAGGCTGAGAATTTTCATAAATAAAATGCACATTATTAAAAAATTAATACTTTTTCATGTTTGCATAGAAGTTAGAACATAAAGTATAGTAAGGATCTAGCATATGAAAGTTGAGGTATTTTTTTAATTAGAATTGATTGATATCTTACATTAAAGTGAATGCCAATAAACACTACGATGCGAGCTAGAAATTTTTTTTTTTTTAAATTGAACATAACTACAAAAAATGATTTTAGATTTAAGATATCATCAATTACTCATAGAAAACAAATCGCTGAAGCGTCTTATATTTTATAATAAGATACATTAAATAAGCTATAATTTGATTTATATTTTAACGATGAGGATGTTTTGCATAACATCTGTTCTAACGCATTTCACTGAAAATTGTATGTTTTTTGAGTTTAATATCTCCAATATCTCCCAAAAATCTAAATTTTAGATAGTTTTTATTTCTTCATCTTATTGTAAATTATATTAGCTTAAATTTAACTTATGTTTGAAGTATATGAAGTTTTTTTGCACATTATTAGAAATTAAAAAGAAAAATATTTTGATATGATTTTGAGCCCTCCCAGTACCTTGGTTAATAATTAATTAATATCAATTATAATAAATAATTTTCAAAATAAATGTGTAGTCGCTAAGGTTATGTCTAAAGTGTTATCAGTAAAAATGTACTAATTATCAGTTCAATTTTCAAAAAGTTTTTCAATATGATGTGAAAACTAAAAATATCGACATCAAATAGAACATTTTATTTGACTATTTTATATAATTTAAATAATTTTGAAATTTAAAAAAATTATATAATTCAATTTTAATAATATCACATAAACACTAAATTCAATGAATGAGATCATATTTATTCAATAGCTTTTTAATGTAACTTAATCACAACTAAAGACAAGTTATGAATATTTTAAATTATTAATTTAAAATATCAAAAAATATTTAACTAAAAAAAAAAAAAATATGGTATAAAATACTTTGACAATTTCAGGTTGGGTTTGGTTCATGTGAACATGATGCTTATATGTAAAAGGTTTGAAGAGGTTTTGGACTACAAAGTTCAAACGTTAAAAAAACATAATCAAAATTATACTTCTGTATGTAACTTTAAAAAGTTTAAGGGCTGCTAAACTATTTTAAAGTCATATACTTACATTTATTTTTTCACCTAATGATATTTAGTTATTTAGTGGCAACAGAAGTATACAATCAAACAATTTACTCGTTACTCTCTAGTTAGACAAATAGAATAAAGTAATTGAAAAATGTAAAAAAAATGATGATTATCAATAACTTCAAATATGGTCTATTAAAATAATTATTTCTTTTTCTTTTTGATACTTAATTTTTTATAGTAATACTCAAAACAGTATTATTAATTAAAACAATTTCAACGATACTGCTAAACCTTAAAAATAATATTGTAAAAGTACATGGAACATTTAATAAATTTGTAGGGGTAAAATAAGAACAAACAAATTTAATTTTAGATAATAATTAAAAGCATAACGATCCCTTAGAAATTTTCATCGGAAATTAAATTTTCTTTTATTCTAATATTCTGAATCTTTCTATAGTAGGTACATTATTATTTTGTTATTATCAAAACGAAAAATCTCTTGAAAAAGCGAATCCATTTCGTTGACGGATGGAAAGTTTCTTCATTGGTCTGTCCAGCTATTATAAAAATAAAATTCCGTAAAAAATACTTAAATACGTCTCAATAATCCCTTGTTTTGTTCATTAAGCTTAATACTAAATCCCCAGATCCATTAAAATTAATACCAATGGTTTTTTTAATTTTTTCTCGTCTCCCATTTTTGTTTTTTGCCAACTGTCGTCTTATTTTATTGTCCCAGCATCCGCACCATTATTTCCTAACGCCTCGTAGGGCATTAAATTAAACAAACGAGAAAAAACAATTAATTACCAGCAAATGTAAGGAACGCGCTACTGAAAGGTATAAAAAGAGGATAAATTAATTTGTCATTAAATCGCCCAGACATTTAATAACGATAGTACCAGTTGTACTATAAATAAATGTTTTTCATTGGATTAAATTATTTTTTCGCTTTATGTAAAGCCTACCTTTCTTTGATGAGTAATATAATTTTATAACTGATAACGTTAATACAACATTATTTATAGTTAAAACTAAACAAAGGTCAATTTTATAACAAATATTTTTTATCAAGTTATTTAAATTGTTTGTTTTATTATAACTAACAAGAAATAAAAAAATAGATGAACTTTAAAAGGACGTTTTTCTTCCTCATAAAATAGTATAAACGTTAGATAATATTTATGTTTGGTTAATCGTCAACAAGTTCTATATTTATCAAATAAATTGTTTGAATAATTAAAATGACTAAAAGGTATTTTGAGTTCAAACTCGGTACTTTGTTTGTTTTTAACTTAATTATACACAAAAGTAACTTTTAATTTTAGCATAAATTCTTTTCTGTTCTAAATTCTATTTGGAGACTTTTAGACAGTAACATTAAGTTTTTATACGTAAAAGCCAAAAAATAATCAACAAAATGTTTATATCAATACCGAAGCCAAATATTTGTATGTGTGATCGCTCAAAAAATAATTTCCTTACTTGTCGTCATATGCAAATCCAGCGCCGAGAGTATTGACATAAACAGAAAACGCCAAAGAACAACATAACAGTAAATGATAATCCATCGGAGCTTTTTGAAAAAAATTTAACTGAAAATTGATAAGCTTGTTGAGGACCAATTTTCTAACACCACATATAGAAAAATTTAATTGCAGAGGAACACGTGTTGAATTAAAAAAGTGATACATGTTATTACGTACACGATTTGGTTTTTTGACCAACACAAGGGTGTTTGAGATCATCGCGGCAACGTGACTGAACAACAACACATTTTGGTGGTCCGTCCCGAATCAGATCCACCCAGAAATTGTAAACCGCATGCGTTTAAACGCATTTTCCCGCCTTGAAATATTGACAATTCAACGATTTACCGCTGAAAAAGGTTGACTAAAAAAAATTCTACACTATCCTAGTAAATAATTTTGTTTTTCACATTTTTATTTAATATTCACATAATTCAGGTATATATTTTTGTAGTTAAAATAGTAAGATTTTTGTTTTTCATTGCATTTGTTTACTTGATACTTTTTAAGTATTACAAACTTTACATAAAATTGTACCGAAGATTAAATCGATTTCAAATAAAATATAATTATCTTTTTCAATAAATACATTTGTAATTTTAAAACTTTGAATTAATAAATAAAAATTTTTTAAGACAGTTCTAGACAGAAAATTTTATTTTAGGGGGTTTGTAGCAATGCTATTAAGTAATTACTAGAAATGGAATTTTTAGTAACAGTAAATATAATTTNTTACTAGAATTGGAATTTTTAGTAACAGTAAATATAATTTGTTTTGTTAAAAAAATAAATTCCAAATTATAACGCTGTGTTTAATAATATTATTGCTTTATTTGATTCTAAAAAAATAATTGTCTCAGATTATGAGTAAAAAAAAGCTAATTAAAGCAAAAATAATGTTATTCATATACGTATTGGATATTTTGCGGATAATTTATCATGATTATTAGTAAAATAACAATGAATAATAATTATGTAATAACAAAGTTTGGAATCTTTAATAATAATTGTATTGCTGTTTAACCACGTTGCTTTTAAAGTACAATGTTTGAAACTTTTGAAATGAATTATTTATGTTTTATAGCTGATAATACTTAATGTTTCAAAAAGTTTAATAAGTGGTTCAAAGTTTATCAAGTAGCATATTTTTAACAATTATAATTTGTACAACAATATAAAAGTTAAATTTGTAATTGAATATACGAATTAGGCTAAAAATGTTTGATAATATTTATTTTTGTCGGAATATCATGTTTTAATATAAAATAATTTTTAAGTTCTAGTTTCATTCGTTATAATACTAACGTTTGTACTATGAAACTTTGAATCAAATATTTTAAAGATTTTATCTTGTTAACGAGTATTTTTTTTTAGTTATAAGAATAATTTATTAGTATTTTTAATAAGAAATGTTTATAAGATTAACAAGATCNATAATTTATTGGTATTTTTAATAAAAAATGTTTATAAGATTAACAAGATCAAAGCTATTTAAATAAAATTCCATGATACTTAATTTGAAAAAAATGTCAATATTTAAAAGTGTTAAAAGAACTAACCGAAAGCAATAAAATTATCTCTGTTTATAAAAGATAAGTTGACTGAAGGATAAACTCATCATATTTTTATTAGTCTACTATATTTTTAATATATCTTAACTCGAAATTATCTGTCGTGATCGATAATTTTTCATAAATTATTTCTTAAACTTGTTCTGTTTTCAACAAAATAAACAAGCTAAACGCCGCGTCTGTTGTCATATTTGAGTTGAAAAAGAGTATAAGTGAAGCCCAAAAATATAGTGCGATTGACAGCCTGTAATTATTATAATGTTCCTGAGAAATTTGCACTTGGATGTTTTGTAAATATTGATTATTGAGTAGACAAGCTTTTGTCATAAACGTTTGTTTACTCGTTTATTCAGCAGACTAGGGTTTATTCAAACGACCGATGACTGACCAAACAAAACAAACACCTATCCCCTTGAATGAATGAATATAAATGTATAAATAAATAAATATTATGACGCCCTCTTACGTCAAAATCATTTTGGTTGATAGAAAACTTTTTCAGTTGTGACAACATCTAAAGACAAGCAAAGCTATAAATACTCACTTGCTACATCAGTGGAAAACAACACATGTATTATAATAACAACAAAAAACTATGAAAACAACAAATACAGCAATTTGCCAGGTTTTTTTATTTTATTTTCACTAATCGATTAAAATTTATATTTCGAGCAACTTTTTTGCTTAATATTTTTATCAACTGGTACTAATGTAGTATATTTATGAGAAAAATATACAAGAGACAGGGTAGCTTAATAATGATTGATAATATAATTTTCGATTAAATTTTGAAAAATGATCGTTGATTGTTGTTTTATCATTTACATTTTCAACAAATTAACAATAATTAATCATACTTTCGTAATAACTAAATTATATGTATCGCTTGATGTTCGAACATTTTAGAAATCTTTAAGCTAATAACATTATAAAGTTATTATGAGTTTAACTATTAAAAAAAATGTGATGCCCTCGCTGTTAACAGTTTTTTTTTTTGTTAATTAACCTCAACAAAGCTTTTAAATGAATAAAAAATATGTATAGCATAAATATGAAATACTGCATAGTTTATTCATATTATTATTAACTTCATGAATAAAAATGAGTAGCTCTTTTTTCATCATCAAAAGGTCATTTCGGGTGTGTGCATTTTTATTAAAATCATTTACATTTTTTTAAATATAACAAAACACAATTAGTTAATTAACCGAATTCATTGTGAGCTAGTGGTTTTATCCAGGGACATTTTCTTTAATGCATACACGTGCAGGGTGAACATATTAAACCATTAATTTTGTTTATTATAAATCTTCCAACAGACAAGAAAGGTTAAAAAGCTAAATGTAGTTAATTATAATTAAATCTCCTGGGTACATATTTCTTTCTGTGGCTGGATGAGCTTTTTGATAATTATAGAAAAAACATTTTTGCTTTCAAAAGTTAAAAAAATGTTTTAAAATTGAAATAAAAATTTATTGCCGATTGAATTGTAATTAACTTAACATAATTGACGAAAAAACGCTTTTGTTAATGATTGTATAATGTAAAATATTATTATGAAAATATTTAAATGTGCAGTTTTAAATATTCACAAAATAAAATAAAATAAAAATGTAAATTTTATATTTTTGTATACATTTTTAGATTATTGGACTCTGTAATTTAATATATGAACTACGAATCCAGATCAAGAGTGTGTTGATTGAAAATCGTCTTATATCATTTAATAAACATTTATTCTTTAGATAATGAAAACACATGATATATATTTAAAAAATAATATAATTCTGTTACATTCATACATAAATTACCACCAAAAAAGTTATGTTTCACTTAATAGTTAAGCCATACAACTTAGACTAAAATATTTTGAGAATTTTTTCATTATTTGTTCATTTGAATAACAGAAAAAATTGGTAAATATAAGTTTTATTTAAAAGCGACTTGAAATTATGGCTGAGAAAAAGAAATACGTCGGGGAATTTGCTTGAAAAATGTTATAAGGAAAACCCGTTTATTCGGTCGGCGTATTCAAAAAATGCAATAATGAAATTCCAATGTACATGCGCAAATCTAATAACACATAAAAAGTGCACAGTTTTATTCTCAGATTTTGAATGCCTTCGGCATCGGTGAATCGTTATGAGGTGGATACGTTGAGGAAAATAAAAATCATTCTGAATACTCCACTTAGACAACTGAATGAGACGTTATTCTTTATTGATGTACTGTTAGTAATTTTTCGTTTACCCGATTTTATTGTGCGCTCTTCATATCTGAGTGTGTAAAAAAAGCCTCGTTTATGAAAAATGTGACGGGTGTCCGTCGTAATGGAGTATTATATACCGATGGCGTCTGTATCCTCGAATCAATCATTTTTTTCCTTTTTGCCCGAACGACACCAGGATATTATTATACAGTATTATTTTTATTATAACGTCACGTAGAATGTATAGCATTTGTGATATATTGTCACATCGATCCATTAAGCGCATATACTCGTTCGTGGTATTCACATTAAACATTCCATGAGCTTTTGACACTTCGAAACGGCCTCTTTTACTCGGTCCATTTAACGAAAGGCACACTCCAGCAAAGTTGACACGTAAAACAATAACGGTGTTTTAATAATTTCTAGTCTTTTTCTAATACATTATGAATTTACTTGAAAAAATCCATTTTATCGTTGTAACATCCTAGTTTTTTGGTAGTAATTCTTTGTTAATGGCTTTTGAAATTTCATCCCTTTATGAGAATTATACATTTTGAACAGAAATAATTTTGAATTTTTTTAACAACAATATTTTTTATGAATTATAGATGTAGTTGAGCATGTAATTAATAAATAATAATCTTTAGATATAGATCATTGGATGTGTACAATATACTTCTGTTTTACAGTCCGTTTCCATACTAAACCATAAACACAAGAATTCTCAATTGGCAAAATATTATAGACTTTTACTGTGGCGAGGAATTCCCGAATGGCACATAAGGCTAGGGATTAATATGTTTGCTAAACTATGTCTAGTTGGCTTGTTAAGCTCTTTTTAGTTACAACTAGAACGAACAGAAAGTTATACATTCTACTATTGTTTCCTTTCGTAAAAAATTCT